CCCCCCCCCCGCCGCCCCTCTCCTCGCTTTCTCGGCCAGCGAGGGGAGAACGAAAGACCAGGGCCGAAGGATCGGGGACGGCAAATTTTGCCACCCAGTTTATTTTTGTCTATTTACTTTTGCCTGTCACCCTCTCCGTCGCCCCGCCCTCTCGCCCTCTCGCCCCTATTTCTGCCCCTCTGGCCCTCCAGGCCCCATGGCAAATGTACATCCAGATACCAGCACCCTCATCAATCCCCTGTTCTGCCACTCTGGCACCTCTCAAAAGGGGGCAGAGTATCCATATTTGTCTTTCCCTTCTTCTCTTTTTTCCGCCCCTTTTCCCTCAGTGCGCCCCGATCCTTTGCCCACTGCTCGCCCGGGTGCGAGGGATCTCTCGCCACTCGCCAGCGTGACATCCATCGGAGGGGAACTCTGTATTTAGTCTAGGTGAGACAGGAGTATGAGTGTCGGGTTGGCAGAATTCGTGATGAGGAGGCACCAGAGGGAGGGGAGGAGGTGGGGGGGGGGGGGGGGGGGAGATACGACATAACGAAGGGAACGAAATATTGAGAACGGACAAGAAACGTAAGCACTAGGCTACGACCTGAACCAGACGGAGGGGAGGCGAGGCGGGGGGGGGGGGAGCCAGCTCCGGCCCCGTCTCAGTCGTGCTTGGTGCTGTCCGAGGCCGAAGCCGAGACCGCGGAGACCGTGGACACCTTGGCCGGGTCAGGCACAACCCCGGCTCCGGTGGCCTTGCGTGGAGCCCGGCCCCGGAGGACCGCGCTGCCGAGGATGGCCACCACCGGGACCAGGTGGCCGAAGTAGCCCAGAGCCCAGTAGGCCCGGTGACAGGCGGCCGTGGACTTGAGCATGAACCCCACCAGGGCATAGGTGATGGTGATGTCGGCCACGATGAAGCGCACCGCCGAGACCACCACACCGGGGAGGTGGACAAACACCGGGGCCGCCAGGGCCGCCAGTACCGGCTCGGCCAGCTGGTCCACGAACTCCAGGAAGAAGGTGGAGAAGTAGCCCGGGGCAAAACCGTGCCACAGGGCAAGGAAAAAGAGCGTGCCCAGGAGACTGAGATTTCGGTTCCCGAGGAAGCGCAGACGCTTGTACACGTACTCCTTAACCCAGGCATTGGTGTTGATGTTGAAGGAGTGCACATAGTGGTCGATGCAGGTGGCCGTCTCAAAGCGCCAGGGGTTGAAATTAAGCAGGGTATTGAAGTACACCTGGCTCCGGCCGCCCTCCGAGGGGAGTGGCCCGACCAGCAGGCCGGTGGGCTGAGGCGGCTGGTCCGGCTGGATGGCAACATCCGTTGGGCGTGCCTCAGCCCCCAGGCCACAGAGGACCACAGCCCCATGCGTCAGGCACCAGGTTCCCGCGTACCGACACAGCAGGCCGCGAATGGACACCCAAGAAAAGAGGAGGCGTCCAAACCAGGGCGTCTGGTAGAGGAAGCGCTCGGAGTCCAGGTCGGCCGTCGGGAAGCGCCCGCCGATGAAGGCATTGAGTCCCATGTACCCGGTTCCCATGAGGAAGTACATGGCTCCGAGCTTCCACTGGAGGGGGAGCTATTCCGACGAGTAGCAGGAGAGAGGAGGGGGGGGGAAGAGGCAGCAGTGTCAACATCCATAGTGTGTCGCTCGGTTCTTGTTACCGGACGAAGAGATCCCAACAGAAGGGATTGAGCAGGGCAGGATAGGAGGCATGGGGAAAGAGGGAGGCCCAGAGAGAGAGAGGCCCAGAGGGGTGGAGAAGCCGACGCACAGTGGGGTGAAGCGGCCCGGACATCATGGTGTTATAAGTGTTGTAGCCATACTGCGGTCCAACGAGGAAACCCGACCAGTGGTATGCGAAGCCCAAGTACTCCAGGACGTTGGGGCACCGGTCGATGGCGGCCTTGCGCTGATGGCGCCCTCGGCGCTCGGGGTTCGGCTCGTCAAGTGCATCGCATCGGTCATAGGCGAAGGCGATCATGCGCAAGCAGAGGACACACTGGGCCATGGTCCAGTCGATGTCATAGGCCGTGGCTGACGACACAAGGAAGTAGGCCAGGAGGAGCGACCCCTTTGGGAATCCCAGGACCAAAGCAAGTGCGGTTGTGTGGTTGGCAGTTGAGGGTTGCACATCTGTGAGGATGGGGCAGGGGACAGGAGGCAGCAGGGGGGGCGGCGGCGGGGGGGGGGACACGGTCGGACGAGGAGAAAGGGAGAGCAGGGCGTACGAAGTTGAGCAGCCACGTGGCATACATGATCGCCGGCCGGGGAAGCAAGCGCACACAGAGGTATGTGGCCAGGATGGCGGCCAAAGAAAAGACAATGTCCCGGCCATAGCAGAAGAGGGCCACCGAGATGCCCATCAAGGCCGAGAAAAGGTGCTGGTATTGGCCGGGCGAGAGCCGGGAGGGGAAGACAGCGCGAAGGGGGTAAGCATGACAGGTCGGCCGAATCAAGTGGACGTGTGGAATATCATCAACGCACCCGGAACATCACAGGGACGTTGGGCTGCAGGATGAAGATCTTGAATACAAGGGAGATTGGGTAACCAGCCAAGATGCCGAGCAGCAACTTGATGCCATCCGGCGAGGTCCCTGCCGCCAGGGCGAGGGAGTCGATGAGAGACATGGCAAAGTCACGCTGGGCGGGGGGGAGGGGGGACGAGGGAAGGAAGCAGGGGAAAGTCGAGTGACAAGCAGCAGAAGGAGGATCCCCAGGCAGGCAGACAGTCAGCAGGACGGGGAGAGGGGGGGGGGGAGGGGGAGGGAGATCCTTGTGGCATCATGAAGGGTGGCCACCCGGCAGAGCGTCACCCTTTGAAGCACTTGCCTCGCCCCTCCGCGCCTGGTCCCGGCAGCACACTCGCTGGGCCTGGGCCATCGGCAGGATCCAGGGCCTGACGGTCGTGGAAGGTCCCCCGTGCGGATCGGACGTCAGCGGCGGGCGCGGGGGACGTGTGCGTGCATGGGGGAGCGGAGGAACAGGAGGTCAGCACCGGCGACAAAAGGAAGGCGAAAGGGGCAGGGGAGGGGGGGGGGGGGAGGACGAGAGCGACGAACCGGAGTCCTGAGATCAACTAAGGGTGGGGGCGCGGAGGACTGGGGGGAGGGTGAGTTGAGGCTCCATCCAGGGGGAATGACGGCGGGGGGTGTCTTTTTCAGCGGGCCGGTTTCCCTCTGCCGCATGTGTTTAGGGGGGACAGAGGGGGCCGTCCCCCCCCCCCTCCCTGGGACAAGAAAGGGTGCAGGATATTGGCGCGCACGCGCGCGCGCCTGTGTGTACGCAGGTGTGCGAGCGCATGCCCGTGCATGCCCAGCCACGCGCGTTGCAGCTAGTCAAGCGCGTCCCCGCGGCTCCGCCCCCCTGGGGGAAGAGAGAACCAGGGCCGGGAGCCACCAGGCGTCCCTGTGGCCGCCGTACCCAGGGCGGCACCCTGCGTCACCCAGGCCCGTGGACAGCTCTCTCGCGGCCGCGCCTCGGTGTGGCCATGCCGCAAACGGTGCGGCAGTTTCCCTCCGTCCCCGGCGCGCCCCGGGGCCCCCCCCCCCCCCCCAGGCCCTTCTCCCTGCATGTCCGGCGGTGGCCGCGCCGCGCTGTGGTATGCCCTTGCCCACCAATGCCTGGGCCAGGGGGTGGGGCGCGTCCACGCGAACGCCCA